AATTTAATAAGAAATGTACAAAAATCTACATGAGGAAAACTTTCAAACATTCCTGAAAAATACAAAAGCAGATATGAACAAATGAAAGATATTTTCATTGTTCTTTAAGAGGATGACTCAATGTCATAAAAATGTCACTGCTCCCTAAATTAATTCATAAATATAAATCAAATCCAATAAAATATTTGCAAACCACATATTGGATAAGAGGTTAATATCCCAAATATATAAAGAACTCATACAACTCAACAGAAAAAAGGACAGCCTAGCTAAAAAATGGGCAAAGAATCTGAAGAGACACTTCTCCGAAGAAGACACACAGATGCCAACAGGTGCATGAAAAGATGCTCAGCATCCCTAACCATCAGGGAGATGCAAATCAAAGCCACATTGAGACGTAACCTCACACCTGTTAGAATGACTATTATCAAAAAGACAAGAAATAAGAAAAGTTGGCAAGGATGTGGAAAAAGAACCCTGGTGTGCCCTGTTGGTGGTAATATAAATTGGTGCAGCCTCTATGGAAAATGGTAAGAAAAGTTCCTCAAAAATTAAAAATAGAACTACCGTATGATCCAGAAATTCCACTACTGGGTATTTATTCAAAGAAAATGAAAATACTAATTCAATAAGATATACATACCCCATGTTCACTGTAGCATTATTCACAATAGCCAAGGTATGGAAACAACGTAAATGTTCTTCGATAGAGGAATGTATAAAGAAAATGTGATATATTGTTATAACACATCTCTCTATATATCATATATATGTATATTTCACAAATGTGATAAATACATAAAACACAGGACTATTATTCAGCTATAAAAAAAGAATGAAATGTTGTCAACTGCAACAGCAAAGATGAACCTGGAGGGCATTATGCTAAGTGAAACAAGTCAGACGGAGAAAGGCAAATATTGTATATTATCACTTACATGTGGAATCTGAAAAACAAGTCAATTTTATAGAAACAGAAGAGAATGGTGGTTTCTAGGGGCTGGGTAGGGGAGAGGAGGATATAGGCTGATGCAGGGTCAAAGGGTACAAATGTTCAGTTATAAGAAGAGTAAGTTCCAAGGATCTAATTACAGCATCAGGACTATTGTTAAAGACATATATACTTGAAAGTTGCTGAGAGTAGATCGTAAGCATTTTCACCAAAAAAAATTTTTAAGTTGACTATGTGAGGTGATGGATATGTTAATTATTTTGAACTTGGTAATAATTCCACAATGTACATGTGTATCAAATCATCACATCGTCCACTTTTATATATGTGATTATATTTGTAATTATGCCCAGTTATTTCTCAGTAAAGTTAAAAAACATACCATAAAGCTTCTACCATTAAAATAAAATGACACTTGTCCAGGAACAGACAACCATTCAAGTGGAATAGAAAACAAAGTCCAGACATAGACTCAAGAACCAGGAAATTTAGTGTATAATAGAAGCGGCATTTTTAAATCACTAAAGTCAAGACAAATTGCTTAACGAATGGTTCTGGGACAACTGATAAGCCATTTAGAAAAAGATACAATTAAATATATACATTACAACATTCACAATTTAAGAAACTCCAAGTAATTTGCTCAAAGCACTCAGACTCTAACTCCCCAATTCTCACTCAGAAGATATTAATTCCAAAAGCACTGTACCTTTCAGATATTAACTTACACCTTTCATCTCTCAGTAATTAAAAAGAAGCTATACCTACATCTCACCATTTTGGGCCTTAACAGAATTACTTTTACTAATTGTACTTCGGCATTATGATATCAGTCTAGACTGAAAGATGGAAATCACACAATACCATGAATCGCTGCCCTTCTTTTGAACAAGTTTATGTTTTTTATCCAAGGGAGAAGAGAATCTGACCGTGTTTCATTGCTTTTGGCCAGTAGAATGCTCAGACTCAAGTTTGTAATCCAGTTCCAATAAAATGTACAGAACTTTCTGGCTGTATTTTGGGGAACAGTTTTTCCATCTCAGTTGAGTTTTTAACACGAGTCAGAAACTATGTTATTAGTCCCCAGGCCCTCCCTTGCTTACTCTTCACAGGACTCTTAGGGGCCCGCCTTCTGCAGCACGCATTCCTCCTCCTGGGAATTTAGCCTCCTACTCACAGAGAACACAGTCTATCCTACTTGACCTCTTTCAGTGGCTTTCTCCTTTTCAAACAAGTCCCTAGGCTTGTGCTGTGCATGGCTGATTCCTGATCCTCCTTGCCTTTTACAGAAACGCATCCAGTCTGTGAAATTCCCTCGAGGTGTGGCCTGAGGCACGACACTCCAGGTTTTACAGTGATTTGTTATCGTTCAGTCCTAAATTATTTTCTAATTTTCACTGTGATTTTTTTCTTCTCATGATGCTTTTAAGTGACCAAAGTTTATTTTACTGCTCTTACATTGTCAATTTAAAACTTCACTGCACTATGAACACAGAACGTAGCCTTCCGCGGGTGATGGCCTAGGTGCGGTACTTTCCAACCTTACTTCATAAACCCTCCCAAAATTATTTCACCTATTACAATCACTTCCTTTAATACCTCTATGTGGATGAGTATACAGAAATGCATCTCTTGCTCACTCTTTCAAGTTTCAGGCCTACAATTTCCTATACAGTTAGGAAACTAATTTCCTGTATGTTCCATAGGCAATTCAGCCCTAACAAAGTCAAAACCAAAGCATTGTCTACCCACCCTGAATATCTTCCTCCTTCCTTCTTATTCTCTATTATTTTGGGGGGTGTGGGGGCAGGTCATTAGGTTTATTTATTTATTTAACGGAGGTACTAGGGAATGAACCCAGGACCTCGTGCATGCTAGGCACACACTCTACCACTGTATTCTCTATTTTTAGAATGGTGATCCACATTTAACCCAATTGTTCTAGCAAAAAATATTAAATTCGTCTTTTATTCCTCTCTCACACAAGCTGAATGAACTGAAATGAATGGATCAAGTGCTGTGAATTATATTTCCCATTTCCTGAAGCTGTCCTTTCCTGTCATGACAGGCTCTCATCATTACTCCCCTGGCCTTGCATTATCCTCCCAAATAGCCTTAGTCTTGTCCCTTCTCCTTCCCTCCTCTTGTCACCTCTCTCTCCCACCCTCCTTCTCTTTTATCTTTGTTCCTTCTACCAATCAAATGTCAAAAACACAAGTCTGATCATTTCATTCCTTTGGTTAAGTCTTTGATCATTGCCTACAGGATAAAGTCTAAATTCAGCACCACATATAAGATCCTTTACTTGATAAAATTCTTCCACTGCACAAATAGAAACTTTTCAGGCTTGATGTATTATTAAACATACTATTTTAAATTCTTGGACCTACAATTCTATTAAAAGCCTAGCATTGAGAAAGATTTAAATAGAAGAAGTGTTGCCTCATACGTGATTGTCTACACATCATGTACTTATGATCAAGAAGAAGTTACAATCTTTAGATTAGGCCCCATTTCCCAAAACAATCTTGCATCAATTATTGACAGAGTACAGCTTACATCTTTAGCCCCATAAGAAAATTTAAACAGGTGAGGAGAAGACTGGCACAGTCTGACAAGGATGGTGCTCAGTCCCTCGCAGGAATCAAGGACAATGCGACAATGTTTTGAATGGTGATTGCATATCATAAAATCTCAAAGGCAAGAGAAAAAAACTTCAGAAGATCAAGTAGTAAGTAAAATCATAGGCCAGCTGTCCTTTAACCCAGTTTAATGGGAAAAAAAACAATCCCAAACCACACTGAAGCAAAAACACCTCCCAGGACACACATTATCTGTATTTAAAACTCCAATAGAACAATCCGTATTCATAAAAGTAAACTTTAAAGATAATAAAAAATAAATTAGGTTCTATTTATCTCCATATGAGAAGACAGGTAAATACAATTCATTCCAGGAAGTTTTTCATGAAAATGATTAAAAGAATACAGGCTTATAAAAGAGATAAATGTATATTAATCTGTTAATTACTATTTTAGTTATTTGTTAATAATCATTTTAACCACTCGAAACAATTTCCTTCTTCCCCGAATGATGACATCAATACACTGCTGTATTTTACCTTCTATTACCTGTTAGTAAAACTAGGTACAATGTAGTTTTTTTAGATTTTTAAACTATCAATATTCAATATGCCTTAAAATGAGGTAATAAGTAAGAATAGGCACAGAAATCAGCCAACCCCTGAAAGACAGCGGAGGAGTAAGGAGTAGCTCTTAACAGTTCACAAAGGGGGGAGAAAGCATCAGAGCAGCACTGTTCCCAGAAACTCTGCCTCCTGCTTTGACGTTATTGCAATTTTACTGCTGCGATTTATTTATTGTAAAGCTGAATTCACTTTCTTAGTTTCACTGCTGTACCTAGGATTCTAAAGTAGACGTGAATGCGTATTTATACGGGTATGTATGCATATATTTTGGCTTATATTTCTGAACTAGAAGATTTATCTCCATGTAGTATACCTTTGATTCATAAAATGATTTTTTAAAATTTAAATGTTTCATCTCAGAAGTTTATGTCCTATCTAGTCTTATAGGAAAAAAAATCACTCTCCAACCAGCATTAAGCCAAAATAAGAATTTCAAAGAATATACAAGCAAATTTGCTATATGTACGACAGACTTGACTGTCTTTACTTTAGAATATGAGATCTAAACGATATATGCACGTTACGAAATTGGAAGTATTCTGCATTAAGAATCCTGAAATTTGATTTCAAGCCCCAAGTATGTGTTATTAGTAGCTGTTGGGCAGAACAAATAAATCAACTGTGATACAATCAGGACTACAAAATGCTGCATATCTTTTCCATTTTCTTGAGCTCACTGTTGCTGACATAAAAGAAAAAAATTTAGTCCAAACTATTTACAAAGATATTAACTTTAAAGAGAACCTTTCTTAAGGCTATTATGTAAAAGCATATTTTACTAATCAAGATTAATTTCTATGGTTTTTATTTAAATTTATTATATTCCCACCAATGTTTTACCTCTGGTCCTGGAGGGCCAGATGGTCCTTGGGGTCCTGGGTCACCTGTTTGGCCCTAAAATGGGGGGCAATCAAAGTATAAACATTAATAAATATAATTTAAAAAGGAAACATATAGTAAGCCAAAAGCACTAAACATATTATGCTACACAAAGTAGCAATGACTTTCCAGCAAACACTCAATATATTACATCCAAAGTTGTGATGACTACTCAGAAAGACTTAACCATCATCACTATAGAAAATATATAAAATCTGTGTGTGTGTGTGTGTATATATATATATATATATATAGTTACTCCTAAAGGTTAGAGAAATAAACAAATTAATGGAAATCAAATCAAGGAAAAAAGTGTGTGTGTTGGGGGGGGGGTGTTACCCAGAGATAAGATGGAGTTTGATGTAATAAAGTAGGGAACTCTAAATCAGGAACTGCTTTCATAAATAACCAGAGTCCTAAGAATGTCTCTGAAAATTCCTCTCTGGTAACTATAAGAATTAAGATTCTGATTTAAGAATCACCTGGATTTAAATCCTTGTTGCTTAATCTCTCTAAGCCTCAGTTTTCTCATCAATAAAACAAGAATCATAAAAGTACCAACATTCTTACAGAGTCATTGTGAGGATTAAATGAGACAATAAATGCAAAGTGTTGGGCACCATGGCAGCACATAGAAAGTACTCATTAAATGTTAATCAGTTTTATACCCATCAGTCCTTCTCTTCACGTCCTCTCTCATCTTCTAGATGATATCTGGAATTCCTAGATTGCTTGGCTCCGTTAATTAAACTTTTGAGGATTTGGTTTGCGTAACTCTGCGGCCATTTTCTGACATCCAGATTAACAATGTGGAGTAAGGGCTGGGGAGGGAGGTCAGAGGAGAGGGAAGTGGGTAAAAGCCTGAAACTGGAGAGGGCTGGTGATACTCTCAAGAGATGGAAGGACAGAACAGGGAAGGCCAGTAGTCTGGTATCCTTGTTTTCATAAAAACTATTGAATTCATTATTTCTGTCATATTAAATTTCTATTTCAGCTTCAAATTTGACCTAAGTAGGGCAAGAATACATAAAATTGCAAAATATAATATGGGCTTATCCACTTTCCAAGAAGTAACGCATTTTCCATATGTACTAAATCTATTCTCATGTGGTGTTAGAGTATCTGGACTTAAACAGCATACAGCACAATAACTGCACTCAAGTCTAGAGAAAAGTAATAAAATATTATACAAAAGTTCATTTAAGTTCTCCTAAATAGACGAAATCATGTCCATCATCCTCCATCATAATCAGTAACTAGGGAAGTCTTCAAATGACAAGTACCTCAAAGAGACAGGGATGGGGCTCTCTGATGCCCTCTAGTGGCAAAATCCAAGCAAGAAGCTGAATTTCAAGCTTGAGGCAAAAACAGTATATGCACCCTAGGCCTCTGTTTTCAGAAAAGTTGATTGACTAACTGACTAATATTAACCTAATATTTAAAAACATAAATTGTGGAATAATTTCACTCATTCTTCTGAGAGATCTTTCATTTTGAAAAATTTCAATTGCAAGTTTCCATGAATATCAACTCTCCTTTATAAACACTGAGTTTTCAAGTAACTTTTAGAGAATTGAGTAATGATTGAGGAAACTAAATGACAGCAAATTTCCAGCAAAAAAAAGTGGAAAGGACATAATAACTGTCTTTATTTTCTCTTTTTAAAAGAAATAGTATTTCTTAACAACTTGAGATTGGTAGTTCTCTCCAATTTTTAAATACTTGCAAGGTAGAAGCATCCATATTCCAGACTGGTGAAATCTGCTGGATTAGGACGTTCTTTTATCTTGAAAACATTCTTTCATGCTACAACTTAGATACATTTGGAACCAGTAATATCAGTAACAGCAACATATGAGGTAATAGAAAACCAAAAGTAGGAGACATAAAATAAGACATCCTTACAACTTCGGCATTCTTTTCATGATAATAAACAAAAGATTTAGATAAGCACTAACTTGTGTAATTTATTTTTAATATGATTATTGATTCTGTGTGAGGAATTTTTCATTAAACAGGTGTCTCCTTCCGTAACTAGGGAAGGTTCCCAGGTCAAACATCTACAATTTCTTCTATTAGTAAGATACAAACAAGTGAGAAAGTGAGCCTGTGAAGGCAAGGCCATCTCACAAATTAATTCCTAATCTCTACCCTAGCTTCAGTCCAAAGTATATATTTTTCAAAGATTTGATAAAACAAACAAAAAATAGTCAACTGTCTCCTACCAAAGTAAACCCTCTGACATTAATTTTTTTTAAGTTAGACTAGTACACAAAGGTATAATATGAGCAAGTAAAAGCCTCGCTCTCACCATTTCATGCTCCCCGCATCACTGCCTTAAAGAACCACATTAGAGTTTCTAGTGATTTCAGGAAAAACCATATTAAAGGTTTCAAGACAATGTGTTAAAGGCGACATAGGCTCTCTGTCTTGTCTTTAGCTTAGACTAGAGAAATACTGGTAAGCATTTTTACTAAGAGAGGAAAACATTTAAGAGTCACAAAGGGACCTGATATGTGATATAGCCCGACTCCCATTTTGAACATGAGAAGCCAGGTACCACGGTGGTTAAATGCCCCAGACCACAGCAGGTCACTATCAGGGCTGGAATTCAAGTCTACATCTCTGTTTTTCAGATCAGTGTTCGCCCTCCCCTACCCCAATAAACGTGTAATCAATATAAATGGAATCAAAGAGTAAGGGAGACATTAAAAAGGCCTGCCTTATATAAGCATGATATTTGACTCTAATTTTCTCAAGGAATTATAAAGCATAAGAATAATACCATTTATTACTTGGTATTGGCCTTAGAAAATGTGTCACACTATTTCTTCTTAATATTATCAAAAGTTAGAAAACCCTCACATTATAAAAATGAAGATGTAAGAAGAGTCTTGTTTTGCCAACCACTGCGGACACTGGGAGTCCTTGTTAAGTGGTTTAGAATCATCCTCGGAAAATAGAAGACTTCTGTTAGCTTGACCTATTCTCACGCTCCTTCTGAGATTCAAGCCCAGGGCACAAGGCTGGGGACATGGCTGACTGCATGTCCTTGAGCCCAGAGTGAAAGCCAGTAAAGGCAAAGCTCACCACCAACATGGCATTAAATGAAGAGATGCCAACAACTGTTCTTTGGATTAAATAATTCCTGAGAGACGTGTACGGGATGCTGTCACTGTTAGAGGTCATGAAGAATTGGGTGTATAAAGTTATGTAACTCAATGCTGCTTCCTTTTATGCAAAAATAAACAATCCAAAGATGAAAGGGTGGAGTGAGAGGGAACACGATGAATTGCTCAGGAAAACAACACTCTTATAATGTTATATTAATACATTTATAACTTTATAACTAATTTTTTGTACCTACAATCACCCTCGCCATCATAGAGTTGTAATCAATATTAAAATCCTAAAATAACCTTAAAATGTTAAATCTAAAACACTATGACACAGTGGCTAAGTGTGCGGGCTCTGACCTATGTGATGGTCTAGACTTTCCCAGGTGCTTACTAAGTCAGTCCAGGCTCTTGAGAAAGTTATTAAACTCTGTGTCTCGGTTTTCCTAACCTGTAAAATAGTAATAATAATAGTACCAACTTTACATGATTGTTTTAAGGATTAAATTAGAGGTATACACCTTACAGTAGTGTCTGGCATATTGTAAACACTCAGTAAATGTTAGCTATAATAATTATTATGATTTTTTAATATGCAGATATATACCTTTGTAAATATATATAGATTTTATACAGAGATTTTTTTTTCAAAGGGGAGGTAATTAGGTTTATTTATTTGGTTTTTCAGTGGAGATACTGGGGGTTGAACCCAGGACCCCATGCATGCTAAGCGTGTGCTCCACCACTTGCGCTACACCCTCTCCCACTAGATACATACTTTTCACTCGTGTTTTAATCTTTTCACTTAAATTTGTTTTTAATTATTCAGTGATTTCAGTTTTATAATTTGTTGAGTTTCATGTTAACTCCAATACATGGTGTCCTCTTATTTCAATTAATTGACACTCAAAGGTTTAAAAAAGGCAAGGAACTAGAATATTTGGGCCCATAAGAGTGTGACCTATTATCTTTTCTTCAGAATGTTTCCTTAATGAGACAGATGTTTGGAAAAATTAAAATATTATTTAAGGTGCTTTGTATTTTTTGGCTTAAAAGCCCATTGCATAGTTTAAATACTGTCTATAAAAGATCAGCCAAGATCTTGAAGGCTCGCAGAAATTTGGCTTTGGACTGGGGTGAGGAGTGAGGAGGGTAAGGCCCAATAATCCATGGAATGTGAGCTGAAGACTTCAAGGATTAGCTGTATTCTCGAACTGGAGAGAAAATGCCACACTGGTAGACTTACACCCCACTTCTCCCAGTCCTCTAACACCAGCAAGAATGAAGACCCATGCCATGGTGTGCAGTCCATTAACCAGGAAGAGCAAAGCAAAAGTTCAAACCTACTGAAGGTCCTGGCTTTCCTCTCATCCCTGGTGGTCCTGGAAAACCCACAGCACCCTAAAAAAGAGAATAATACAGGGACAAGAAAAGCTGTTATACCACAGAAGGCAGATATGCCTCTATTTACTGACTACTAAAAAATTTATGGATTTACTCTTTAAAAAGCTGAGAAAATAAGACATGTAAAACCAAACGGATACCATACTCTAATAAAAGACATGATTAAAACAATGAGTACTCCTTTCTTTTTAAAGAATTTATGCATTTTCTCTGACTTTTTTTGTATTTATAAAAAATCAGTGGTAAAACCATTACCTTGTCTCCAGGATAGCCCAGTTCTCCTGGTTCTCCTGCAACGCCTTGTTCACCCTGGAGAGCACAAATTCATACAAAGACACTTAAGCAGTGCAAATGTGGCAATACCATGAGAAAGCAAATACTAGCTAAGAATAATTTCTCTATTTTTCCTACTTCTAAATTCTATAATTGATAACACAGATTAGATTGTCTTTAAAAAATATTTTATAAGTTGTGTTGACTCAAAAAAATTAATGTGAGAAGAAATTATCTCTATGACAACGTAAATATTTAAATCACCTTATCACCTTTGATTCCAGGTAGGCCCTTATTCCCTGAAAGACCCTAAAAAAGAAAGTGATACTTTGTGACATCAAAGAGAAAGTAAAGTGAAATATACATTGTGCAAACAGAAACATACCACCGGGCCAGGGATTCCAGAAGGTCCAGTTGGTCCCACAGGGCCAATGCTGCCCTGAAAAGCAGTAAGAAAGAAATGCCTTCAAGCATCCACTATGCTAAGAGAACATAGTAAAAGAACTTGATCGATTAATTAACCTAGAGGGGTTCACCTCACGAAGCTCCCACACATGCCTTGTTCTTCAACAGAATCTTTTCCTCTTCACACTTATAAATTACACCAGTAATTTAAACTTCAGTGTGGTCTACCCTATTTCCTGAAGCCTACTCATACCAACCCAATCCACAAGGACCTTCCCATCCCTGAGTTCCTGTAATACTTGCCGTCCATGCCGTTTATGTTGAAATATTTCTCCAGCTGGATAATATCTTGAAGATAGGGGAAATATTTCAGTGCCATGCTTCCAGGAAGTACTCAATAAATGCTTCAATTGATAGTCTTGGATGTTTTCTTTCACCCATTTATTTGACAAGTGTTCATTGGTCAGTTATTATGTGCCAGGAATTCCAATGATTTTATTTCATGATTTACAATTTGCAGAAGGATAAAATTTACCACAATTTCAGGGACAAATTGAGTAGTGAGCAAAGGTCTCTGCTCTTCTGGGTTTCTCGCATTCATTCATCATTTAACATTTATTGAGCAAAAGATGTACCAAACACGATAGTGGTGTTGAGGAAACAAACATGAAAAAGACACAGCCACCAGTGGCAAGGTTTTCAGTTTAATGCTCCAATGCAAGATTACTCAGAAACATTAACAACCACTGTCATCTCCTGCAAGCCAGAAACTTGGAAAAGCTTCAGTATGTCATCTTAGAATACAAAGGACAATAGCAACTAAGAGTGTTTTTGAAAGTAAAATTTGACAAAACAGTGGAAATATCTTGATGATCTGGGGATCATTTAAATCTTGTATCATTGGTGCCTTCATTTTCCTGCTTCCTCTTGCCACCTCTCTGTGCCCGGCTAACACATCACCTTCATCCTCAAAGACTGAGATGCTTTAATGGTTTCCAAATGTTGAGGAGCTTTTAAAAGTGTATTTGTGACAATGCTGAAGTGTTGCCTCTTTTAGTTAAAATCCAAATTTCTCAGGATAGCTTCCCGGGTCCCTACTATCAGGTTTCCACTTCCTTTCAGTCTCATCTCCTTCCATTTGTCCTACACCCACTTTTACTTCACCCTCCTCCAAATCTGACATTCTAGACACAATGGACTGTTTTTTTGTTCTCTGAACATATTCTCCTTTATCACAGGCTCCAAGCCTTTGAAGATATAGTTACCACTACAGGAATGCCCTTCTACTACAGAACTGAGTATACTGCACTGTTGTGTGGTTTGTTTTTTTTTTTCTGTCTTCCTAGTCTGTGTATTCTGTTAGAGCAGAAGAATGTTTTAGTCATTTTTTTTTTAAATTTCCCAGACCCAACATGATAGCCAGCACATAATAGCTTTGAAATAAAGTATGGGATGAATTCTGGAGGAAATAATCAACTTTAAAAAAAATTTAAAACAGTGATTTAGTCTAGAGCTTTACCTCCTGACATAACACAGCATTTCTAACAGTCCGCATCCATACACTATGGATTTTAGAATGGAAAATATGACATCTTTACTTTGAGGTGAGTCCTAAAGTTTGTGAAATATAACTGTGTCCAACATGTTTAATCCTGAAATATGAGACTGTGAGAGGCAGAGCAATAGTTTCCGACTTAATAAACAGATATGCAATATTAATACATCATTGACAAATTCTGTCAATAGGAAATAATTATTCTTATAATTATTGTAGTTTATTCAAAGTTCATAGCTTTAAAACTTACGGTAGTTTAAAAAATACAACATCTCTGGAAATTATGCAGCAATAATCCATGTAAGGAATGGAAAGGAATATCATACAAACATTTCTTTATTGTCCTGTTGCTTTTTTCTATAGACAGTACAATATCCTTAATTTTTTTCAGTAAATATATTACTGCACATTGTCTGACATCTTCAGATGAACTACTCTGTGTGAACAACGTTCTATTTTACTTTTTAGTGACTCTGAAAGAAAAATCACGGAATAGTAAGTTTCAGGAGATACTAAAAACATATTCATTATAAAGGACTTAGAAAAATAGAGAACTGAAAAGTAAAACGGTTTGAGTATAGGAATTTCTGAGAAACATCAAATGTTTTGTGACATGTCACAAGTTGTGTGGAAAATCCTACTCCTGCAAACCTATAGCCTTCTGAAAGCAGTCCCTGATGGGGGAAGAGCAGTTTTCAGTTCCACCAAGATAACCTGAAGGTTTTTCAGCACCCCTGCCTCCACGCTTCTCTTCCTTGAGAAGATGCAGCAGACAGAAGGAGCAACTTCATTCATGGGAGCTCAGCTGAGGGTGCCTGGGACTTAGCGACAGAGGCAGAAGAGCCTCCCCTGCAGCCGTAAGTAATGGAGCACCTCTGAGTCAAAGTCAGTCAAAGAAATAGAGGGACCCAGGGACAGGCTCCTTATCCAAAAGCAGCAGAGCCACTGGCCAATTACAGTTCATACAGCGGAACATATCGTGGAAAAGATGGTGAATTCTATACTGGACTTTTTTCAACCACGCCCACCCACACTCACAGGTGATAATCACTGTCATTAATGAGGAAAGCAAATGACAGTAACGATCAACCGCGTGGACAAAATAATTTAGACAAAGCAATATCATCTGTTATCAGAAACTGTACTTGCTGGAAGGGAACCCCTGAGAGATAAAGCAGAAGCTGCAGTTCTGGGCAAATAAACCGTTTACCATGAAATATAAAAGTTCTAGGCAATCTTTCCTGATTGTCTTCAAAACCTCACCGCCTTCCATTCCACTCCCGTCCCTCCGTACTTCTAGGCTATAATTCCACTACTCATTTCCCAAACATCCCATTTTCCCCCTCTTCTGTGCATTTGAATACAGCACTCTTTTGCCTACGAGCTCTTTTCCCTTTTCCAGTCCATCCTGTTCACACAGAATCTTCACAACAGCTCAAAAGACACGTCCTTTGTGAAGCTGACCCTGACCCTGAGAGAACGCAAGCTGCTCCCTTCCCAGTGGGTTTGCTTGAGCCCATTCTAGCAATAACCATATTGTATGATGTCACCACTAGATTATAATGTTGTTCATATTTTTAGACTTAGCATCTAGTTCAGCATTCGATACATAGAAGGTGTTCACATTGTTTTGATTAAAAATTTTAACAAATGTAGAATGGAGGAAGTGACACCTGTACGATCTATTTTACAACTGAGATACATATGATAGTACTTGAAAAGTACCATCTCTATCACTGTAGAAGAGCCGAGGACTAGACGAGTGTAGTGTCATCAGCCATTCTCACTTCTGGAGGATCTCTTCCCACATACCAAACGGTGAACGGAGAAAGAGAAAGGGCAGAAAACCCAATTATTTGTACTGAGCATTATTATGTGTCAGGCACTGTGCTCAGTCCTGGAACTGATAGATGAGTAAAAGTTAAGTATTAGACAGAAAAGGCAAGTGTTTCAGGCAGACAAATGAGGGCAAAGGCCATGCGGCAGGAGGCTGCACAGCACCTGAGAATGAACAGCTCTGCTGGCGCACAGGGGATGCTCTCAAGGTGCAGATCAGAACCAGAAGTCCGGATATCTTGGCCATGTTAACAATCTGGGGCTCGGTCCTAAGCATAACAACAGAAACTTTGGAGCTAACCAACTTAATGTTGATGGGTTAAATGAAGAATGCACAAAGAGTGTCTTTGGAGTCCAGCTCCCTTCCCCGTTTCCTTTCTCTCCCCATTGATCAGGACACTGACTGCCACTGACAGGTTCAGTCCTAC